CTTTGGTGTCTGTGACAAAGAAATATTTTTAATTTGCAAGAATAATTGCGGTATAATGTCCAGGCACTTCTGGCAATTGTTGAATTGTTAAAGGTGGTGTTGAGGATGTCTCTGGTATATGCTGGATGGAATTTACAGCTGAAGACACTGTTAATTCTCTGGATGGTCAGTTCTGTCTAATGCAGTTGCTGAAAGATATCTCTGTCTCTCACTGTGCTGTGGGGAATTACAACAACGGTATCTTTGTTCCATGTATGTTTTGTGGAGGTGACCTCCTCTGTGGAACGATTGCAAGAAGAGTGGTGAGAGACTACACAGACTTAAAAAGACTTTTGGCTTATTGAACTCTTAAATCCTTGAATCCTTAAGGCTCTAGAAGAGATTTGCAATATGTCTGCCTTGTTGATTTGACTGGTGTATAAAAAAAACCTCTCTGAATGGGTGCAATAGATGAGAGCACTGAAATGTCAGCAACCAGTGCAAGAAAATCCAGCATCTGGTACAGAATAATGCCAGAGATCATGGAAATGGTGGTTCATCCAAGGTGAAAGTTGATGAATCTATTGTTGAGTCAGAGCTTGAGTGAGGCTGATCTGTAAAGCTAAAATTACTCTTTCCGATCCCTTCTTGCCTCATGAAGTCAACAGCTTCTCTTCTGTGCTGGAGAGGAGGTGGGCCTCTGTAGAGACTTGTGCTTGTGTGGCCAACATGTTTTAATCACGTCTTTCAGATGTACCTGTGCTGTTATGTACAGTACAGTAGTACTTGGTAGAGACTGTCAGCATTCAGTGTTGCTTATTATTTTGCAAGCTGTAAACTGGCTGATGGGGTTGCAGTGTTGACAAACTAAATACCAGCATGCTTAGGGGTCGTTTTTCATCCTTTAGCAAGTGCCCTGTGAAGTGGAAAGGTACAGCTGAGTGTGGCAGAAGTCAGTTACTTGACTGGTTAACATGGAAGTAGGAGAGAAGATCTGTATTGGCTTTGAAAAGAGAGGAGGGAAGCTGCCTAGTCCTGAGATGGGGATAGATATTTGCATAACCTTTAGTTTTTTGAATTATATGAAGTCCTGCATATAGTGTATATGAGAAGACAACGCAGTAATGACATGCTTGAATGTTCACTGTTCTTACATTCAAGTGAAGTCAGGAAAGGAGTAAACTTGGATGAATGTGGGGTTATTTTTGGTAAGTGCCCTGCTGAATAAAAACCTTAAAAAATAAGCACAGAGACATCTCCACCACTTTGGAAAGACTGAAAATTACTTTTCAAAACACAGCATGCTCACTAGTGCTCTTTCTTTTTGTTGTTGTTTTGGGGTTTTATTTTGTTTTGTTTTCCATTAGCCTCACCGGACTTGGGAGATAGGGACCAGCAGCCTGAGAGTCACAGATCAGGGTCAGTGTTACCTTTTGGTGATGGTTGTCACATGGTGGCACAAAACTCTTTGGTCTTGCTGTTACAGTTTGTGGGAAGGGGCAACTACCAGAAACAGAGTTTTTGTGCAGGATGCTGAGCTTTTTCCTATGGTCATCAAAGCTGTCCTTCATGTGAATATTGTTGGACATGGATAGTAATGGCAATGTGTTGTTTTAAGTACAGTATTTCAACAAGCTCAGATTTAGTATGGAAATAGGACATGAATTGCTGCTTGTTAAATCTGTCTGCCTTCAGGGAATTAAAGGGACAAAATAGTTGTACTGAAAGTTTTGTGATTAAAAATAAAAAGGTTGTGGGCAGTGGAGATAGTATCTGAGCAGTTTGGCTTCGCTGAACAGCCTTTGCATTAACAGTTCTCCAAATGTGTTCAATTTGCTCACATTAAAACATTTTAGGAGCAAATTTGAAGAGCTGGTCAGTAATGTATGCATCTGAAATTACGGCTTTTGTTATTTCAATCATTTGTTGGTTCCCTTGATTACAGAAATCATACATTAGTAATCAAAACATATGCCAAAAAAAAATATATATATATATTTGGCAAATGTTTTGAGATGTATATATATATATATATGAATACCAACCTCAAATGTTGGCTTACCTCTTATCCACACATCCTGAAGTGACTCTGGCTATGTAGTTCACAGTATCTCACAGCACATGCATAAGTGTTTTTAATAATGTGGGCACCTGTACTGTATGAGAAGGAATTAGTTGTTTTCAAATGCTGTTGTCATCAAATCTGACAGGTTATGTAACAAAAAGCACCTTTTTCTTTGTTTATTTTATGTGTTTCAGCTAAAAAGGGAATTAATCCTCCTGGGTTTGGGGCGGTGTTTAAACTCCTTTGTTTCTACCTCTTTAAAAGAAACAAACCGTAAAGTTCTAACTCTTGCTCTTGCCATAGAAATTCCTTTTGTGCATGGCATGTCCTTGAATTGTTTTCCAATTTCACAAGGTTTGAAACAGACATTATAAAAACATTTACAATGACTAGCTGAGAACCTCTCATAAATGCATTTGTGGTTATACTTTGTGTTCTACAACCAAGAATATGCAAAATGCTTTACGATATTTTCAGTTTGCATTTGGAATGATTAATAAATAACAGTCTATTTTCTTAGCACAGAGGGCAGCTAAGGAAAGTCACAAGTTTACTTTTCTTGGACCATTGTGATGACTGTTATCCTAATACAGACATGGTTAGCAAATTAGTTATGAAGCTGTGAACGTCCATGAGACCCTCCTAGTAGGCATATCAGGCCTGAAACAGGAATTGTGATGTGTGCAGTGGCCCTAAATCCTGAAACTTGCTTTCCTTCATACTACAGGACATTCCTGTGGAACAGTGGTCAGCTTGCAGAAGAGTAGGAATTTATTGACTGGACACAACCATAGCCCTGTTTGGGGAAAAAGGGGGAAATTAGGCTGTAAGCCAGTAATAGCTGCTCTCTTCTGAAGGTACCTTAAGGCTTTCTGGCGTTATTTGAACTAAGAAAATACATTTCTGTGACTGTTGTCTGTGGAGGGAATGGAGTAGGGGTTTAGGACAGTCCTGTTGAACAGTTTTCCTTCAGCAAAACAAGTTTTTGAGCTGCTAGCTATATGGTGTATTGCTACGGTCCCAGCCATGGAGTTCAGTTGCAGAATCATGCATGCAAGACTTTTAAAACAAGCAATCTCAAAATGTGTTTTACTGCTGCATTTCTGAGCCTGGCTGAGTTTCAGCATGGCTTGTGTAAACCACGCAGCCAAGCTGAACTGCAACTGTATCTGAGAATAGTTCCATGGTGAGAAGAGGAACTTGGTGGGCATCTTGGAATTTGTAGAACTGTCTTGGCCACAAATGTTGTGGCGTGGTAACACCTCAGTGCTCAAGTTTTGGGGAAATGTAGATGAGCACAGTGTTATCAGCAGAGTATGTTCTCCTGTATGAAGTTCTGTGCTTGGCTGTGCTGCTCTTGGTACCAAAGTTTTCATTGCACTTACCTGTATTAGTTGCCCTTATGCCTTAAAGTCCATCTTGAAACCAGGATTAAACAAGGTTGTTAGGCTCACCTGGAACTTCATTTCAGCCCAAGATTTCCTAAATATGTTTGTTTGTTTTCCTCCTTGTTATAGCAGGGTTTGTAGCTTGTTAAGTCTGACTTCTTTATTATGGGGGGTTGGGGATTTTTTTCCCTCCTCTGAAAGAGTCAGAGTTTCTCTCCTCTGTGCCTTACAGCAGCCATAGAGGAGATGCAGTGATGTAAACTACAAAACTTCTACAGGTTCTTCTGGGTCAAATGTGGGTCTTGTATTTCAGAGTGTTCATTCTGTGATCTTTACTACCAAGATGTTTAGCCATGCCATCTCATAATACTTGTGATAGTTTCAGTTTTGCTAAGGATATAGTTGTTCAATAAAAATTCAGCTGAGACTGCTAAGTCCTTTTCATATAATGTTGATTTGTCTGTGGGTGAAGTTACTTAGGAACTGGTAACCAAACAGAGATTTTTTAATAGCTTACTTGAAGTCCTGCTTAGCCTTTTTAGCTGCTTCTTGGTTTCCACAGGTGTGTCTTCCCAGTTTCACATGTGCAGTGTGAGCTTTACCAAGCTATTTGTCTTTTTTTTTTTTGAACTAAAAAATTCTATTCATGTGCACAAATAGCTGTAAGGTGGTTGTGTGTTATCTCTGTTGATTCCTAACTGAGTTTAACCCAAGGACACATTTCACCTTAGTAGAAACTTTTATTGATAAATTCAGTAGTACCTCTGGAAAAACACTACAGGGAAAGAATGAAGTAGGTTTTTATGCAAATAACTTCTTTGAAGCCAAAGAAAAGTGTTCAGACACTCCCACAGTAGTCCAAAGCTCTTTGTAATAGCCCAAAGACAGCTTCTAACACATATATCTTTTTGTTCTTAAAGTGAGAAATTATGTCCTCTGGCTTTGAAACCAGGAGTAGGAGTTGCTTTAGTGTTACCTTAAGTGTATTTGTGCTAGATGCCACTCCTCTGCTCCTCACCTTGGGAATGCTAAATTAATTTCATCTTGGAGAGTGTTCAGACCACTGAAACTGCACACTTGACCCAGCTTGTGAAATGAATCATAGGGTCAAGTATGGGTAAAAGAATATTTTTGTGATCACTCCTTGCCAACAGACAAACAAATCTGTGAGGGAAAAGAAAACCCAACCTGTTATAACTAGTGGTTACACTGGTTTGTTTTGAATTCTCAATTGTCTCTAGTGTCTATTGCAAAGAAAAGTTGGGAACCTTTTGTTACAATCCTTACTTTGGAGATGGGACTGAAAACATGACAATTTTGGACACTCAGAGAGTGAAAATGTTTTATTGTGTGTTTTGACTCTAAGTGTATGTTTTATTGGGAGTGTACCTATTGGAAAATCAAAATTAGGAGAACTAATCTGCAAAACATAATTTTACTGCGATTCTGTCTCTAAGGGTCAAAGCATAGATATATGTATATACATGTACATCTGTCCTACGGCTTGTCACTTGGCAAAACTGAATACTGATTCCTGGCAAAACTGAGCATTCCTTTATTCTCTGCAGGGGTGGGCTAGCTGAGAGGTTATGTCGGCTGCAGAACAGAGAAAGATCTGCCATTAGCTTTTGGAGGCACCAGTGTATTTCAGATGCAAAAATCCCCTCAGGTAAGAAGCGTTGTACAATACTACTGTGAAAATATATACTTACATATGTGTATATGTGACCTATATAGGGGTAACAGTGAAGTTTATAGTCTTTCTGGGTTTTGCCTGACTTGGGTTTAATGCTCTCTTGATTGTTTTATGAGCTAATATTGCATTTCTGCTAAATATGATGGTTTCTAAAGTCTCAGTCATCAAAATATTTGGATATAAGGGGTAATGGATTCATAGAGTTTAATTGTAAAGAAATGGTTAAGTTTTTTAATCAACTTTTGTGTGTGCGACTAGTCTATGAAATTTCAAGCATTTATTCTGTATTAAACTGGGCCCATATTGACTTACATTTATTTTTCAGAAAGTCCTCTAGTCTTAATTCGAAAACGTGGATAAGTGAATCTATCATTTGCCTTGAGAGTATGTTCCTAATTCTACTCCCAAATTTTTAAAAGTTCCAAATCTGATTTTGTCTGGCTTTAGTTCCTCCCTTTTGTTTCAAGTTTCTTCATTAGATTAAAGAACTCTTCAGTATGTGACATTTTCCCTTTCTGGCACTTGCATAGCAAAACTGTACCGCCTCACAATTTTCATAAACTAAATAGACTGAGCTCTTCAAGAGTCCCTAAAACATTTTTATCAGTGTTCAAGTGATTTGCATGGCTCTTTACTGCACCCTCTAAAACTTTTGGCATGGTCTTAAGATCAGGGTGAACTACTCTGTATGTTTTCTTCCAGTTTTTAGGCTCATTAATATCCAGCTCACTTCTCAGCCTCCTGTAGGTTCAAGGCCTGTGATAAGTGTTTGGGTCTGGTTTGGCTTTGGTCACAGCATGGTACTGGGACTTCATGTTGAATTGGCTGTCCAATGTGATTTTATAACTTCTATAACTGTTATTTTCTGAGATCTTGTTTCCCACTCCCCAGCTACTCTTTATTTCTTCTGCCTGAACACGGTAAAGTATTTGCGTTGTATCCAGGTTGGCTTTGAGTATGCCCAGCTAACCACAGAGTTCAGATCATTGTATATCTCAAGCCTGTCCTCTTTTAGTCATGAATTTGCTTGAATTTGCGGTATCCACACAGTTTCTTACAGTTTTTTAACTTGTTTTTATGTCATTGATGAAATCATTTATTAGTATGAGCATTTACTTCCAAATCCTGCTGGAACTGCTGTTACTCATTTATAATTCTCCACTGGTAAAAGGCACTAACTGTAACTCACAAAATTAGTTCTCTGAAAAAAAAATTTTTTTTTTTTTTTTGTATTCCACTTAAAGGGTACATTAGTCACAGTGAAAATGGTCAGATTTTCTTAAGAAGGTTGTATGGTTTAAAGTCATGCCCGAACTGTGGGCTAGTCTCACAGTTTCTCCCTGGAGCTTTGGAGAACTTCCATCCTGTGGCCATTTGCGTGCTATGTGTTCAAAATGCCACCCATGCGGAATAGCACATTGTATTTTTGACTTTAATTCCTTACTTATTTTTCCAGTCACTTTGCCTAGATATGATGACAGGATAGCTGGTCTTCAGTTACTGTAAGCCACTTTATTTGCCCTTCCTGAATAGCTGCACAATATCATCATCCTTTCAATCCTCTGTAATTTCATCAGTATTTGAACACTCACTAAAAAGTGCTATTGGGGAATCAGAAATGTCTTTAGCCAACTCTTTTCAGAAATTATATGTTGAAAACTATACAGGCATACTCACTTGAAACTAGTGAAGCCTTCTGCACCTCCACCTGAGTTATTAATGGGTAGGAGATTTCTTTATCATTCTTATGTGGTATGAGGACATCCTCTTACTGCTTCTGATATATGGAACAGAAATAGATATTGAATAGGTTTGTCCTTTTAATAAAATGAAAAAGACCTGCAACACTGCTAATATGCTAATATTCTTTTTGTCCTAGTTTCACATGTGTCATTACAAAACCTTGTGTTTGGCTGCTCACCATTTTGTCAGACTAACTTCTAGGCTGAAATATTCCATGCTAAACATCTGCCTCTGGCTGAATTCCTTTCTTTGATTATTCTTCTTTCTTTCAGAAAATGAGTCAGAATTCGTTAGCATTTTATGAGAAAAATGCTATGGGAAAATACCTTGCTCTATTCTTAAGTACATTTAAAAAATTCTGATGAGCGTCTTTGAGATGATTTAATTTTGGCAGAAGATGAACTGTTTCCTGGATATGCCTTTTGCCATCATACTAAAAATGTACGAGAACTTGGGCCAGTTAGAAGTCTTTAGGACTAACTACTGTTTCATTTACCCTGTAAGCATTTGGTAAAACTTCTGAAAAATGCTGGACGTGCCACAATTTAGGAATACATTTCAACTTCACAGCTTAAATTTCACTTCCAATTCTCAGTCCTTGCTTCAATATGTTAGGATTATAAAATAACCACTAAAACAGCTTTGATAGTATTGTGAGGATAGTTTTCCATCTAGGACAAAATTTATTTTTGATAGTTTTATTCTTAGAATGGCCATACTGTTTTGTGTCACCAAAATAAAATTGGTGTTTGGTTTGGAAGACATCAGTTAGAATGGTTGAAATTTTAGTAGTGTAACTAGATAACCTTCTACTTGCTTCTAGTCTGGAATGTGAAGTGTCAGCACAGCAAAGGAATACTACTTTTAGCTTTCATCACTTTAGGTTCAAGTTGAGATTCTTCTCAAATTTTGTTTCCCCTCTGTTTTGCCCAGTAATATTTCTAAACTCCATTGTTTCCAGGACTGTTTCTGAGAGGAAAGAACTTCTCGAATTGCAAACTTGTTTGAGTTACTAAAGAAGCTTGAAGATTAATGTGGAGGGTTGAAGTACCTTAGTTGCTGGAAGTGCTGTCACATCATTTTGGATATCCCATAGACATGCAGACCAGAAGTTCATTGCTAAAGCAAAGGGGAGCAACTTCAAATGAGATCAATTTGAAATCCTTCATATATTTGGGTTTTAAGGAAAAATGTTTCAGATATGTGGGCTACTCACGCCATTAGACATTTCATGTCAGAGAATTTTATGCCTTTATTTTGCTGTTGCTTACTTTTAGGTTATATCAATCTTCATATTATCCACCCCCCCACCTAGTTTTTGGCTTTAGTTTTTAAAAATTCTTGTCTGTTAGCTCCCTGACCCCTTTCTGTAGGTAACCATTGTGGTTTGGCTGGCTCTTGGTCAGTGGGATGAATCATAGCCCAGAAGAGAGCACCTCCTTTGAGCACGCACTTTCTGGTTTCCATGCAGTGTACGGGGCCTCACTTTTGGCCGGTTTGTTCTGCAGGGTAGAAGAAATCCTCACGCTTGCTCTGATTCTGACAACTTTGGGTCAAAATTGCATTCGGCAGCCTGTCCCTGTGTTGGGATAGGCTCTCACTAAGAATATTCGTTTCTACAAGGTGATTGGTAATTGCACTTCTTGTAAATCAAGCTGTAAACCATACCAGACAGAGGCCTGAAGGGAGATAAGACCAAAATCTGCCCGTGTTGCGCTGTGTTGGTCAGATGCTTGCTGTGGTTTAGTTCTAACAGGGGCGGATGTCAGGCTTTTTGCCACAAATCCTAAAGTTTCTTTTCTTCACAAGATGTGAAAGGGAGGCTGAGGTGCAGTCTGCATAACAGCATGTCTCTGATCAGCCAAGCTGATGGTCTGAGAGTACTCTGTGCATGGGCTTGTAGACCGTTTGCAAGCTTTTCTTCTGTATGCAGTGCTGCAACTTCCCTATGAAGTTTCCTGTTTGAGCTAAGAGGTGATCTGGACAGCTGAAAGAGAGAGAGGAAAAACAAAACCAAACCCACAACAAAAACCCAAACCTTTTCCTGTCAACATCTGCTGGTTGTATAGGGATTGCATGATGCAGAAGAAAAAATAGTGTTTTTCTGAGTTACATTCAGACAACCTTCCTGTCTATAGGAGGGGACACAAATAATATTTCAAGCAAACTCATGTAGATTCCTTTTGTAACTTCCAAAATTTTACTTTCTATACATCTTACCTTATTTTTTTTGGTGGTTTTTGTTTTTTTTTTTTTTTTTTGCCTGGCAGTTATCATCAAAGCAGTTCTTTACCTTAAATGCAGAAACATATTATTCTCTATTATTTGTAGTCTAATGCAATATATCTGCTTCTTGTTAGCCTGAGATTAAGATTTGTGGTTGTGTTACAATTGAATTTTGAGTAGTGAACTGATAATAAACCAAAACCATTGATCTTGCCTTCCAAACAGCTCCTTCTTCTCAGGGGAAAGTGACCTTAAAGGGGCAACAAATCTTCATTTTGCTGAGGCAAGTGGAACAACACATGAAGGGAGGAGGGTGAAGCCCTGGAGATGACAGGGTTTCCTATGTAACACCACATTTTCAAGAAGGCTGAAAGGTTTACATAAGAGGATATAAACAATCACTCTCCCTCTTCCAGTTTCAATGACTAGTTAAGATGATGGGAAGAAAGGATTTTAGCAGCTTGAATGCCATGAAACTTGCACATGGATGAAGAAAACAAGGGTAACCCTTAACAGGGTTTCCTTTACTATGCAAAATTCTTCTAAAAACACAAAAGTCTGAATTTTGCGAGTTGTTGCTTATTTTCTTAACTCTTGATGGTTTATTACTTAACAGTTAATACTATAAATGAGAGATAAAAAAGTGGCCAATTTTTTTCCTAGCCAACTGTCTGAACTTGTTACAGCATTGGGAAGGGAAAAAACCCGAATGTAAACTTGTCTTTTTCGAACAAGAATTCCTTGTATGTTTTTGTTTTCTTATGAGAAGCAATAATGACATGCATAGTTACTTTAAGTAGCTTACATGTGTTCTTATAAAGCATGTACAGTGTTTAAAGCACAGCCAAATTCAGCAACCTTTTAAAAATTAATATAAATGTGGCAAGAAGCCATCATGCCTGTGAGACTTGATGTGTTTTTGAGAAAAATCTTTCGGATGGCTTCAGAAGTTACCAGCCCAGAAAGAGTAACAACACGTATGGATCAGAATAGCAATCTTGTAC